ACACAGCAGGGTGTTTGTATCAGATACTGCTCTACAAAGGTGCATTAATGACTTTTTCTGTTTCTCTTCTTCCTTAAAGGCCTACATGCCCTTAAGGCAAAATAAGTTTAAAACAAAAGGATATAGGTATTCTTAAAATGCAGCTACTCTGACAGCTCAGTTAATATGCTATTCAGAAGGTCATCTGGGGGCAACTGCTACTCACTACAAGTAAGTAGCCTTTTGTAAGTCCAGTCTACTACTACTCACATATGCAATGCCTAAAACTGAACTACAATTTTAGCAAGTATTTATGACAGTCATACAATTTTCAACTAACCTGATACAAAGTGCTGCCCTAGAAAATGCCTGGGGCCAATCTCTCTGCCATGAAAGACCAATGACAGAATCATCTGTAGCCAATCTCAATTGTTAGATTAAGAAACAGATGCTTGGCCTTGTGTTAAACACAGAGTCACAGAACGGAGATTGCACAGGATACTCTCTTTCTGAAGTATTTAAGAACATACTACTACCTCTTTATGCTACAAGACAGAGAAGACAGAAGCAATTACTCCTTGGTAGCTGATCATATGGCAGAGTTGGGATTTGATTTGGTCTGAACAAGAAAGTTAGCAGCATCTATAATAGACATCATAAGAAAGTGAACTTGATGCCAATACTAACCTGATCCTTTGGCGCTTAGGTTGAATAAATAAACATTATATATAAAAACACCAAGATTCAGTGATCAGGAAGTAATCAGCCAGGGAAGCTTTATAAACATAAAAATTTGCTCTTAGGCCATCAGTATGCCATAAATACCTCATAGGCACGTGGGCTAGTAATTTTTTTATATTACAATTATTTTTCAGAGTTGATTAAAAGCATAGTCTCTTCATAGTGGTACACCCAAAGAAATGTAGATAAGCTTAGATAAGCATATGGAGCAGAGGTCCATCGGTGGCTATTAGCCACAAGGTACAGATAGGGAATCTGGGGCAAGTGATGCTCTGTATTCTTGGTGCTTGGGGAGCTGTCAATAGTGTGCGGGCTCCTAGTGTCCTGGCACCACTGCTGGACCTCCTGATATCACCTGGTATTTCTGGCCACTGTGTGACAGAGTATTGGACTGGATGGGCTGTTGGCCTGATCCAACATTGGCTTCTCTTATGTTCTTATGTAACAGGAAAAAGTCATGCCAGAATTACTATTTTTCTGAACAGTAAATATTTAGCAGCCAACATCAGATTTTTAAGCACCAGAGTTCTGCTTGGGTGTACAAATACTTTAAATTCCTAGGCACCAACTACATGGGATTTCTGTAGCCTTGCCCACAGCTACTACATGAAGCACCAACCGTCACCTGAACAAACCAAAATAAGACATTTTAATTCTGACAGACCTTATTTGTAAGTAACGTGTTAAGGATTACAGCACAGGGTATTTAGAAGGTCACTAAAAGACTTCCCCAGCCAAAATCTAGAATTCACTCTTTTAAAGAACATATTGACTACTTTCACTAATTCTGTTTGCCATTTATGGGCTTTATCAAACAGAATGCAATATAAACACCAAAAATTCTGTATTATCAAGCACAGCACTAATTGATGAGTCTCAAACTGCATTTATCCCATTCAATGTTACCTCTATCTTACTCGGCAGTAACTAGCATTGCCATATTTATAGAACAGCAGTTCTAGTGCTCCCATTCAGGATTAGAGGTGCATTGTCCTAGGCACCAGATACATGAAAGGGGCATTGTCTTTGACCTAGATTGATTGCATGTAAGGACCCTGACTCCACACTTACTTCATACAGTTTATTTATACCATGGCCTATATCACCAAAATAAATGGGGTGCTACAAAGTGTGTGAGCATACTGTAGTTAAGCACCGCTACTTTTAGCCCACTTTGTAAACTTTCATTTTCTGAAATTAAGATAATTAAGTGGTAGTACAATATGCTAGGCTAAACAGATGCCTGAAATTCCATTACTTTTAAATGCATTTTAAGTTTTAGGTTTAGCAGTTTCAGGGCAAAGCATTATTTGTGCATTTAAAATATTTTCCTACAGCTACTATTTGCAGAAGCATCACTAATTCACTATTCCCAAATGCCTACAGAAATCTGAGGGGGAAACTCTCACTTTCAAATAAATAACACAAAACGTGCCCAGTCCAATCTACAATCTGTTTAAGTACTTCAAACTATATTATTCCCATTACTATCAATGTGAGTGAATAGTTTTCAGTCTAATAACAAGAATAGCAACATTAGAAAAGTTTTATTGTACTTTGTTAATACACTTATATAAACCATTTTTTCTACAGGATGTTGCTGTTAACGTTTCACAGAACTGAAAGTCCAAACATGTGTAAAACCAACAAAATAAGCAAAATACACCTAAGAAATAAAACAGCATATTAAGACCTACCAATACCTCCATAAACCTTTCCCCACACACACACACACACACAGAGAGATATTTAAAATGACACTGGTACTGTTTAATTATCTTAACAGACCTTTTTAAAAAAGCTGGTCCAGATCACAGTGTACACATTTAACAAAAAATCTGGATTTAAGGTGTTCATTTTTCCATATATGTATAATACAGAAAACATTAAAAATGTACTAAGCCTTTTATAGATGAGGGCATGCAAGAGAATATAAACCTAGAAAAGAGCTCTTAATCAAATCTGGAAAATAACTTGCAAATAATAAACACAGAATGTGAGTGTGAACCTCCTTGTTGCTATTTAAGCACCCCATGCTTGCGTAACTTCAGCAACAAAAGAATCATCAGATCTTGTGTCGTTTTCTGATGATGAAAAAACACTCAAGCTCAACTATTTTCTGCACAGTTCTTTCTTTCCTGTAAACTGGAGCTACAACTGGTTTCAGCACAGCTTTAAAGGGATACAAAGATTCAGTTATACACATCAAGGCACAATTAAAACAACTGATGGCTCATTCTGTAATTCATAAAGTTCAAAAATAAAAGCTGCTTTTTCAAAACGAAAATGGTTCCTCTCCCGTGCATACAGGCCTGAGGCCCTGGTGCAAACAGTGTCTAACAGGCCCAGGCAGCACAAAGACAGGAATGGCAGATTAGTGGGAGGGAGGGAGGCCGGGTTTGGGGCTCAGCAGGATCTTCAGGCTTTTTAAAATTCAAACTGCTGCCTGACCAATACAAATCACGGACACGCTACTGACTACTACACGGATTTACAGCATTAAAACACGCCTTCTACGTGACAGCTATATTAACTTCACCCTTTTAAACATGTATTGGGGGCCACAAAGGCAGAATAGTACTTTCTGAACAGTAATAAGAACTGGAACAACAACAAAAAAGTTACTTCGCTGGTGAGATGTGCTAAATAGGAACCAGCTTCCTTCCTGAACTCCAACATCATAATGATAGCTATGCATGATGAAATACTGCTCTGGACGACTTTATCTAGCAACTAGTTACATTAACTAGTCTGAAGAACAGAACTCTTCACAGTGGAACAAAACAACCTGGTTCATTAAAGAACACTTAAGAGTTTAGTAAAACACTCTAAGACAAGCTACATGTTTGTCTGAAAAAAACATTAACTTCCACTAACAATTTTGAAAGATTAATGAAATTCCACGTTTTACTTGTAAAAATATCACACACCTACACAAACAGCAGGGCTCAACAATGCTTTTTAGATTTTACACTGATCCACTTCTACAGGAAACATGGTTATGAGAGTCTAATTTTACAGAATGTTACCCATTTTCAGCCTGATCCTAAACATATTTCCTGTTAAGAACCATCGATTCCAAAAGATCTTACTCCCACATCACATTTTTAGATTGCAGCCTTAAAGGCCACAATTTCAGAGAAGAAACTCCAGGTTTCACTTTGTCAAAGTGTCAAACTACAGACACTACCCCTTTCTCTTTCTTATACTAAGTTGTTATTAAGTATCAACATTCTGTCCCCCTCCCATGTGACACACTGACTTCATATGTATCCTTCTCGCCTACAGAAAAATAATGGTGGTACACGGCCACCCCCTACACCTTTTTTTGTGAGTTGTGCAGGTGTTCCAAGTCCCTGTCAATCTCTGAGAAAAGAACCAGATTTCAATCGAGCTAACAGACCCGTTCAAAAGACTCCCCCCCCAAAAAACCCCCCAGCGATATTGACCTCCCCAGCAATAGAAACGCTTCTATACATATTAGACGCTCTGAACGTCGAGGTTGTCCAAGGAAAGACAAACAGATGCAGTTGTTTGCTGATTTATATTTATACACACCGAAGTGCGTGCGTGAGCCTACCTCTTTCTCTTGTTCTTCCCCCCCGCCGCCGCCTGATCTGGCTGGGACTTTTTTTTCCTTTCCCCTCTTTTCCAGCCCACCTACCCACCCCCCCACCCCATCCCCCGCCCGGTCCACGCTCCCTCCCCACGGCGAAGTTGAAAATATGGCACAGGTTCGGTCTAAACTGTATTGTTTCCTCCTCCCACTCTGACTCGCTCGCTCGCTCTCGGGCGCCGAGGCCTGTCACCGACGAGCCACTTCGCCTCGCTAATCCCCGAGCTGGAGTGGAAGAGCTGGCCGCTGGGCCTGCGCCCTCCTCCGGGCCTGAGCTTCTCCGGCAAGCTCGGGAGAAACCATTCTCTCTCTCTCCCTCTCACCCCCCCCCCTCATCCGCCAAACCCCAAGAGGAGGAGAGGAACGCGAAACAAACACCCCCCCCCTCCATTCCTCCTCCCTCGGTCCGGCTGCCACTCATTATTCCTCTCCCCCTCACACACACACGCACACACGGCCCCGTCGAAAAGGCTAATCCCTGACTGGGCCGCCTCGCCTCAGAGAAGGCCCAGCTCGAAGCCTCCGCTCGCTTCTCCTCACCGCCGCCGGGGAGAAGGAAACCCGAAACGGGGTCGGGGGTGGGGAGTCGGGGGAGAGAGAGAGAGAGGGTGTGAGGAGAGGGGGGGGGGAAGAAATATTTTATTTTTATTTTGGTTTTTATTACCTGAGCGAAACCGCCGTCTGAATCCAAGCGAGAAGAAGAGGGGGGGGTCCGGAGGGGAAGAAAAAAAAAAAGGAGCGGGAGGGGAGGAAAAAAAAAATTCCGCCCCCCTCCCTCCTCAGAGGATCCGCCGCTGGGCCGCCGCGGAGCAAGAGGAGGAGGAGGAGGGGAGATAATATAACAACAATAATCCGGGCCGGGAGGGGGGCTGGCTCCTCTTCCGTCTCCTCCTCAGTGCAGCGAACATGTAGAGGGGGGGAGAGAGAGCGGCCGGAGCGAATCCCTCAAGTCGGCGCCTGCTTCTCCGGCTCCTCTCTGCCTGGCGGCGGCCGCCACCACCGTCGTCGTCTTCTTCGTCGTCGTCCTTCCTCCCCCCCCTCCGAATTCACACCAACATCCAACACCAGGCCGGGCCGAACCGGATCCGAATAAACACCTCACGCACCGACCGAGCGACCAACGAAGGGAGGGAGAGGAAAAGGGAGCGAGCGGACGGAGGGGAGGAGGAGGAGGAGGACGGCGGCGGCGGCGGGGCTCTGTGGGGGGGGGGGGGGGCTCGCTCGCTCGCTCGCTCTCTCCCTCCTCTACCGCGGCTTGTTCCTTCTCTGCCGTCACCGCCTCCTTCTCCTCCTCCTCCTCCTCTGTGTACGCGGTCGGGGCGGGGCAGGGAGGGGACCGCTTGGGCCACGGTGAGACGGTACCGGGGACGGAGGAGGACAAGGGGGAGGGGGGACAAGGGGGAGGGAAGGAAGAAGAAGAAAAAGAAGAAGAGAGCGGAGTGTGGTGGTGAGGGGGGGGGAGCCTGCGTGAATGTGGAGTGTCGCTCTCGCTCCCCTCACAGAACAAAATGCCGACCGGAAGTGCAGCTGCAGGAATGACTCCCTCCACCGGCGCCAAACACCAACAGCCTGCCCTTTCTCTTGGCTGCGCCTTCTGAGGCGGCCGCGGCCGCCTCGGCCGCCTCAGTCCTTCGTTAGCAAACAAGCCGCCCGCTTCCCTGCCCGCTTCAGCGGTGGCCGCGAACCTGGGAGCGGCGCTTCTCCTTCGGTCGCAGCCGGCAGCTTTGGCCGGGCTGTGTCTTTCTCTGTGGTGGTTTTATTTTTCTTCCCCACAATTTCGCTCGCTCGCTCTCTCTTTTTTTCCTCCTCTCTTCCTCGGCTGTGGATAAGGGGAAGCTGGAGTTTGGAAAAGTGTGGCAAGGAGGAAGAAAAACCCCGCGGGCTGTCAAGAAGAGGAATAACCTTTTTTTTCTTTCCCCTGCCCCCTCCCCAAATACTTGTACTCCCCCCTCCCATAGTTTCCAGAATTACATGTTGAAGGCAGCAAGAACTTCCAAGGAAGAGGTGGGAAATCTTCTAAAAATCAAGCCCTTTTTTTAACCATGAGGAATACTTTAAGCTTGATCTCGCTCACACTTGGTTTTCTATTACTGTGAAACGCCATGTTGCTGCTTGTGTATGTTATTTTTCTTACAAGGTGATGCTCCTAATGATGATGTCGGATCAGAAGAGACTGGTGCTGGAAATTTTGGGTTAAGCCGTTTCCAGAGGGGCGTGGCTTTTCAGATGGAGTGTCCTTTGAAGTAGTAGAAAGGGGGGGAAGCTATGGTATTGAGGTAAAGGCTCCTTCACTGAAAAATTGATATGGTGGGTCACAGAGTTTCTGCAAATAGTCTAATTGAGTGTTGTGTGAGCGGTCTTTGGAGAAAGGAACAGGAAAACTCACCTATTTTCCCTTCAAGTAAATTGTTTATGTACAATATCACTGGAAAGAAGCAAGCTGTCACTCAGACAATGCCTGCTCTTTTAGTTATTGCTTTGAATCCTGATGTTGCAGCGGAAAACTCTGACAAACTTATTTTGAAAGGTTTCTAAAGGTTCTAAAATGCTATGGTCTCTTACAAATATAATTTTGGTGCTCATTTTTAAATGTCCACTGGAGTTTATGGAACAAGACCTTGATTGTCTGTAATCTCACTCTAATGTGATTCAGTATTTTCCACTAAGATCTTCAATGCTGGGCCGGAAGCAGGGAACTATAACCAAATTCCACAAAGAGTGTGTATATGCAGCTAGGAATTGTTAGTAAGTATTTACATCAATCTCTGGATGGAAGTGATTTTAATCAGACGGCAGAATTCATGGATAAACCAATTCCTTGAAAACCCCCCCAATTCAACCACAGTTAGTCATGACTAAGTCTGCAAATGTATGTGAATTTACCTGAGAATGTCCTTTCGAAGCCAGTACAACTTGCGGGATCTGGTCCATGGGGTCGCGAAGAGTCGGACTCGACTGTGCGACTGAACAGCAACAAACAACTTGTTTTCACATATGCGTGAGATTGTTTTGAGCATTCGAAAGAAAGTGATCGGACTTGAGTTAGTTTGGGTAGTACATAGTCTAAAATGGCTAAAATAAGTGCTTTAGGGTAAAAATATGTTGCTTGCTTTATCTTGAACATGACACTGTTAATAAAAGAGATATGCATACTTAGCTCAGTAATATATTCTAACTTTTTTAAAGACATGGATAGACTTTCTAATGTTCAAGGTCAAAAACTTGACAGCAAATCAGTGATACTAATTGCAGGCAATGGGAACTTAGAGAGACCTATTTTCTCCATTATCTAACATAGTCAACCATTCTTTATTTCTGACTGTATGCTGGCATCCTGAATTTTTTTTAAAAAAAAAAAGTTTGTCATATGAAAAATGATGATATCCAAATTGTATACAGAATGTATTTTGTGAAAATTTGGGCGAATAATGATATAATTGCTGGGAATTTAACATTGTTGCAAAAAACTTGAATTCATGTCCACTTTCATCTGTCAATCATATATAAATTTAATAGATGTTCTGCAATAAACCTTCTTGATTCTGATAGTTTTAGTACTCCAAAGACCTGTAGATCACTTGCTAGAACATTTGACACACCACCCTGTATGGTCTTCAGGAACACACACATAAACATTGAAACAAGTAATGAGAAGGCTCTGAAGTAAAATGTTTTTATCTAAATGCACTTCATGTTTTAGAAGACTACAATTTTCTAACGAAGATTTCCTCAGGTACCTTTGACCAATCTATAAAAACTGCTTAAATATATTTTGTATAGTCAGGAAGTATTTTTTTGTGTAAATTGTTCAAGGCAAGTATAAATGTAAAGAGCCAAATTGTGCCCTCCTGTGGAAAAACACAAAAAGGCCAGAAAACTCTTGAGTTTTGATTTGAGTTACTTCTAGGCAATCTGAGTCAGGAAATGAATATTATTTCCTCGCTTCATCCAATACAGATGTTTACATTCTGTAAACAAAGGCTGAGATAGACACAATCTAGTATTCAAATTCAGAAGTACCTTCATGTTAATATGCTGCAGTGCAGAGAATACAGAAGTCACCATGCACACCATAGAATCCAGATGTAAGGTGGACACTTTAATTAATACTAGAAGTCAGATCAATATGAAAATATGACCGACATAGTGCAGCTCATTTACAACACTGTCTGTCTTGTTCATGCTATGTCCCTGAATATTCTAGAACTGCTGGTATTCTTGTTGCACTACAATACGTTAATTTTATAATTCTTATACATTGCATTAATAAAAATATTTACCATTTAAATTACTGTTGCCCTAAGATGTGGGAAACATACTACAATAAAAAAGAAAGATTGCAATGGGTAAGTTGTTATCTCAGCCAAACCGACCTCACAAAGTTATTGTCAGGCTGTTCTGAGCTCCCTGAATACAATTGTAACAAGTAAAAGGCATTTAAGTTTTCGTTAAACACCAACTGTGGCGAATTGGGGGGTGACTGATCTATGCACAATTGTGTATCTGATAATGAGGGTTTTAGAATGGAAATACACTCATCACAGGCCTGCTTTACTTGCTTCACGCATAGTCAAGTGACTACCTTTCAGAGTGGAATGAATTCTGGATTTTAGAGCTGAAGGTGACTAATTTGCATTTGTATAAACTAAGGGCAGTCCATTGTTGTCTAAGGTAAATGTGTTTTCCTTATCCTAATACTTTAAGTGGAAACAACAAAACCTGTTCTTCATGCAGTATGTAAAATGGGTTTTCTTTTTTCTATCTTTGCAATTTTGTAATATTTACATGTAGTTTTAAAAAATGAGCAAGGAAATTGCATTAATTTGGGCTTTCAGAAGGCTAAAGAACATATAGCATACAAGAACTTCAGAAGACTTGCACAAACAGCCCAATTCTGAGCATATTTGGGTGAGAGTAAGTTCCACTGATTTTAATGCAGTAAATACAACTAAGGTCTTAGAATTTAGTTCCAAGTAAACATGCATAGAACTGAAGAGCCATATGGTCACTGGGATAGATCAAGGTGGGTAGCTGTGTTTGTCTGTAGCAGTAGAAAAGAGAAAACATCCTGTACCACCTTAAAGACTAACAAAATTTGTGGCAGGGTATGAGTTTCTGTGAGTCACTGCTTCTTCAGATCAATCTGAAGTCAATGGGAGTAACTGTTTATGTAATGAGAAGCTTAGTCTTACATCCCTAGTTTTCCACAGAAGTTTGTTGTGTGAACTTGGGCAAGTCACACACACTCAGTCTAATCTCCCTCAGAAGGCTGTTGTGAAAATAAAATGGAAGAGAGCAATGTAAGCTCCTTTGGGTCCCCAGTGGGGAAAAGGGTGGGATATAAAGTAAATGAAACTATATTAGCTGAATCACCATTACATGGAACTCCCTGTGAGCCACATGCCCAATAAGGTTTTACAAAAAGCATATGGATTTCACTAAGAAATATTGTAAAACTTGCCAGGTAATAGTGGAGGGAAAGCAAATGTGAATCCATTCTTATTTATTTACTCATGCTATTGGAACTCTGGTCTAAATTTCTTATTGCTGTTCTAATCATATGTCAAAGTTTCTAAGTTATTTTCAAGGCACCAGAGTGGGGTTGCCACTTGCCATCCCTCCATGTAACACCTGGAAATCTGCTATTACTGTTGATCTCCAGACTACCAATATCAGTTCCTCTGGAGAAAATGGCTGCTTTGGGGAGTGGACTCTGTGGCATTA